CAAGCTTTGCGGAACTGTAAGAGGTCCCACAGGGCCCTGATCTCCTCCGGGAGCTCATTCCACAAGGTAGGAGCCGCCACCGAGAAGGACCTGGCCCTTGTGGCAGCAAGCCTGGCCTCTTTAGGACCCGGGGTCACTAGGCAGTGTTGTGACCCCGACCAAAGTGCTCTTTGGGGCCTGTATGGGGAAAGGCGGTCCCTCAGGTATGCCGGACCCTGGCCATATAGAGCTTTAAAGGTAAGCACCAGCACTTTGAAGCGAATCCGGAACGCTATAGGCAGACAGTGCAGCGCTTTCAGTACAGGTTGGATGTGATCCAATTTAGGGACACCCACCAACAACCTGGCCGCCGCATTCTGCACCAGCTGCAGCCTCCGAATTTGCGACAAAGGCAGCCCCATGTAGAGAGTGTTGCAGTAGTCTAGCCTCGAGGTGACCATCGCATGGATCACTGTGGCCAGATCGCTGCAGCTAAGGAAGGGGACCAACTGCCGCACCAGCCGTAGATGATAAAAGGTTGCTTTGGCAGTGGCCGCCACCTGGGCCTCCATTGTTAAGGTGGGGTCCAGAAGCACCCCCAAAATCCTAACCTCTGAAGCTGGCACCAAAGGTGCCCCATCGAAGGCCGGGAGTGGGAGCCCCAATCCCATACCACCACGACCCAGGCACAGGACCTCCGTCTTCGCTGGGTTCAGCTTCAGCCGACTCAGCCTGAGCCACCCAGCCACGGCCTGTACGGCTCGGTGAAGATCTTCTGGATCAGAGTCCGACTGGCCACCCAACATCAGATGGAGCTGGGTGTCATCTGCATATTGATGACACCCAAGCCCGTACTCAAGTTGAACTCTGATAAAACCAGGAGTGAGATCCAAGTGCGGAGAGGACCACTGACTGAAGAGCCTATCAGAGCCGTGAATACTCTGAGGCAAAACAAGCAAAAAACAGACAAAAAAAAACCCTGGGGGATCCTGGAAGGAGGAGGAGAAATTGGATTTATATCCCGCCCTTCACTCGGAGTCTCAGAGTGGCTTACAGTCTCCTTTCCCTTCCCCTCCCCACAACAGACACCCTGTGAGGTCGGTGGGGCTGAGAGAGCTCTTTCGAGGACTGCTCGTGAGAGACAACTTGTGACTGACCCAAGGTCACACCAGCAGCTGGTGTGGGGAATCAAACCCAGTTCTCCCAGATTAGGGTCCGTGCTCTTAACCACTACACCAAATCAGATGGAAGAAGTGTTGTCTTTAAGCCACATTCAAAAAGAGAGAGAGAGAACTGGTGGCATTCATTTTGATCTCACAATGATCCAGGATGAGAGAAGAAGAGAAGATAAGAGATTGGATTTATACCCCGCCCTTCACAGATCTTTCTCAAGGGGTTCCTTGGCACACAGTCCTGCCTACAGATGAGGAGGCTCTGTGGAGAAGTGGGCTGGTAAAGATTTTGTTTGGGCTGGTAAATTTTAGGGATGTGCCCTTCTGAAGCTGTAGTTTCACCTTCACTCCGCTGAAGCTGATTATGTTAACAGCTGTGATCAGTGCGTATTGGCCAGTATCTGTAATATCACCAGCTAACTTCCTCTCCAACCCCTGAAGGAGGACTTTTGGAGGGAAATGTTGTCGGTAACATGAAAGGGGGGGGGAATAGTGGGGCACAATAGCAGAAGCAAGATAGAGTGGCAGACCTATTAATTGATGGAACTTTCAGTTTGCAAACAAGCACATTTGCAGCACCAAGTGGGTTTACATTACCATGGAAAGATCCTGCCATGGCCCCTGGAAAAATGCAACGTCTCTCTTCAACCTAAGATATAATTTGGTTGAAGGTGGGAGGGTGAAGGTTCTCCACAGCTCCCTCCTCCCATATTTTGAAGACGCTGGCTGACCCTTTCCCCCTCTTTCTCGGCAGGTGCGGGTAGACCTGGTCCACAACCCGGCCTTCTGCAGCGCTTCCACCGCCAAGCGAAGATACAGGCAGAGTTTCTCCATCAAAGGCCAGTCCTCCAAGGCGGTGCCGTTTGTGATTGTCCCGCTCCAGCTAGGACTCCATGACATCGAGGTCAAAGCAGCTGTCCAGGGCCTGGGTGGATGGGATGGTGTGAAGAAGAAGCTGAAAGTTGTGGTGCGTATGAAGTCGGGGCCTCCGACGCCCCTTGGAGAAAGAAAGGCGGCAATGAGCCGGTGTGGCTATTCTCCTGAAAAGTCCCACCTCCCCTCCAGGGCTCTGAACCAATCCTTGTGATTTAGGCCTCGTGCAAATTCCAGTGATTGTCAGCCAATCAGAGCCCACGGAACTCCACTGGAGGGGCGGGGCTGAGCCAGCCTCAGTATAAAAAGCAGGAGGCGAAACCTTCTCTCCTCAGAGAGGGGTTTTGGTGGCTCCAGTCAGGAGTGTCGGCTTGGCCAGGCTTTCATTTGGCTTTCTAGTTAGGGCCTGGGGGTTGGCTGAGGGAGGAAGAAAGCTTATTTTTGTGGTACAGATAAGCATCCTGTTCCGGGCCCATCATTCCTGACTGATGTGTGTAGATCAAGATGGGTTGCAGTGTTAGTCTGTCTGTAGCAGTAGAAAAGAGCACGGGTCCAGTCCAGTAGCACTTTAGAGACTAACAAAATTTGTGGTGGGGGAGGAGCTTTCATGAGTCACTGCTCACTTCTTCAGATAGACCAGGATGGGTAGCCACATTATTCTGTCTGTAGTAGTAAAAAAACCAGCACGAGTCCAGTACCACCTTAAAGGGTGTGGGCAGACGGCGTGCTTGGAGTGGTTTAAATTGCTCCGGCCCTGATGTGGTCTTTTTTAACCCGGAGAATCGCGATCACACTCACCTCCTTGCTCCGGATCGCTGCACAGCCACATTGCTCCCCGCCCGTTCACACACGGGAGTGTGCGTCGCTGTTGTTTTTTTCTCTCTCTCTCTCTCAGTTTGGGTATGCGCACAGGCAGCCATCTGTAGAGCTAAAATTTTAGCGCGTGCGCAAAACAGCGATTGCCACTTCAACCTGACTGCTGTAACGCTTCCCTTTAAACTTTAAAGGAACACTTCCCTTTAAACGTTTACCCCCGAAAATGGCCTCCGTGAGATCCTGAACTCGTCTAAAGGCTAAAACTAGGCACCATTTAAACATTGTTTTTATTAACGCGGTGGCGGACCTCCGCCTATGTGCCCACTGCCAACACTTTTAAAAAAATGGTGGGTGAAAAGCGAAAGTCTCGGGCAGCTTTTGAGCAGGGAGGGGGTTTAAACCGGAAATGGCTTGACACCGGAGGAGCAATCAGTCGTCATAAAAACGCGGCTGGAACCGGAGAATCAGGAAAACACCACTTGAGGACCTGGTATCAAAATACTCAGGGTTAAAGCGGTTTTGAGCCCTATTTACCACACACTTAACTGCAACTCTGGTTAGGATTGCACTTTAGTCTACCAGGTTTGCAAACAAGAGACCTTTAGGGAGCCCATAGCTTACATGCTACTAATCTTTAACTTAAAGCTTGTGTCCTTCTTTTTATTTGATTGTGGGCAGCTGGGATAGAAAGAATCTATAGGAGAGGTGAGTATAGAAATAGTATTTTCTAAAATCTTTCCTGCCTGAGCCAGATGGCCTTAGCTGGTAACACTACCGTGTGATTTCTGTCACCTGTGCAGATGGCCTGCCGGATGGCCAGGCCCCATATCTATATACAAGACACTTTAACACCTTCGCCAGGATAGAGCATGGAAAATACAATTGAACTTGATTTAACCCTATTAATTTTGACATCCTTTTACTTAACTTGTGAATCCTTGCCAGGTCAGTTTTAAGTGTATAAACACATCTTGATCAATTATTTCCTGTGGAATAAAGGACAGAATCACCAGTCTTTAGCTTTGACAACCAATTATCATTGTGCTTTCTATTATTCCAATTAAAAATACAAACAAACAAAGTCTTTTCTTCTAGATTACAATACTTCAATATTGATATGTTACAATACTCTAAGCCTATTTAAAATCACTAAAAAATCAGAAGCTGAAACAAACTCCTGAGCTCACTCTTTGAAATAGAGAGGCTCTCATAAATCTTCACTTATGACAGTTAGAAAGTACATCCTAATTGAAAATTGGCTAAATTGCCTGGGAAAGAAACACCTGCAGTTTGCTCCCAATTAAAAGAGCTGATGCAAAAACACCTGTTCATTAAAACTCAAACACTCCTAGTTAGGAAAAAAAACCCAACCTTGTCAATTAAATTGAGTTAAATACTTGTTTCCACAATTGTGCTTAGTGATTCAAACTGTTTGTTAATTCTCCAGGAGAGCCCCAAAGAATTTATCCCAAAGGTTTCCTGGAAATCAACAATAATCAATAGAAAATCACTTGAACCTTTGAATTGTCCCCTACAACTTTATGGTCACCATAGAGTTTTTAGCCAAATGCTAGAGCATCCCCTGTATGACATCACTGGCGCAATGACATCACCAGGTGACATCATCGCACTGGGCCCGTCAGGTGCGACGGGGGGCTCTTTGGGGGCGGAGTTCCCTGCCGGTCAGCTTGCTGGTGTTGGGTTGGGGCCCCCGAAAGCAGGGGAACCCCCACCTCCATCAGAGGAGCAGCAACCCTTCCTCCAGACTACAGAGATCAGATCCCCTGGACAAAATGGCTCCTTTGGAGAGTAGACTCTATGGCATTGTATCCCACTGAGGCCCCTGTACTCCCCAGCCTCCACCCTCAAATCTCCAGGAGTTTTCCAAGCCATATCTGGCAACTCTATTCCCTGTCCCCCAACAGTGGCCATGAGGAACCTGGCAACCCTAAAGAAGCCACCAGAGGGTACTGAGGTGCCTCTTATGGATGTGGGAGCACCAGTTCCTAGCCAGGAAGTCCTGAAGCTCATGGGTATCCCTGGATCTGATTAGTATTTCCTCCCATGTAGTATTATTGCATTAACTGAACCACGTAACTCACGTCACTACCCAAGGGAGTCTCAGAGGGGCTCACAATCTCCTTCCCCTTCCTCTCCCCACAACAGACGCCCTGTGAGGTAGGTGGGGCTGAGAGAGCTCTGAGGGAACCGGGACTGGCCCAAGGTCACCCAGCTGGTGGCTGCAACAGGAGATGGAGCCAAAGTGGCTGAAGGAGGTGGAGCTGGCTACAAAATGGCTGCTCCAACTGACCTTCGGTCTCACAGTGAAGATCCTCGTGCTGTGGTGGCAGCTGCCGCCAAAGCAACGTTTTTAACAATCGGCACACCCAATCAAAATCTCCAGTGGCCCATCAGAAGCCTTGCTGGGCAAAAGCCCCACCTGGTCCAATCTGTTTTCTCAAAATACCAGGTGGGCAGCAGGAAAGGTGTTGGTGGGCACTGGGTACCATGGCGCCCACGGGCACAATGTTGGGGACCCCTGATGTAGCTGAACCATTTGCTTCAGAAATGAGATCGGATGCTCTTGGCTTGCATTTCCCCATTGGTGTTTTGAGTCTCTCACTGCTCCTGTGTCAAGACTTAGCTGTGGCGAGATCCTGGTGAAAGATGGTTCCTGTTCTTTCTTCCCTACCAGCCTGAAGGGATGCTGCAAAAGCTTACGACAGTCTTTGATTTAGATCCCGCTGTGAAAGGAGTTGGTGAGTGACAGCTCCCTTCTTAAGCACTTCTTTTTGGACTTTTTTTTTTGGGGTGGGGGAGTCCGATGAAGATCTGTCTCAGCATCCAGTGTTGTCACTCACTTTGCTTTAATGCTTCAAGGCAAAGTGGAGAGACCTTTCTTTTGGAAATTTCTGACGGCGGGGCTTCTTAGACATGAACGTGTAAGGCAACTGAATTCTGTCTGCCACCCCGAACACAAATTTTATAACTTTAGTTCTGCAGGGCTAAGGTCTTCGGAATGTTCTTTTTCTGCCGCCGGACCTTTCTGCTCTCCTTCCAGGTTTTTTGAGCAAAGATGCCAGGTAGCATCCTCGAAACTGTCCCACTTCCGGTCACAGATCACTTAACCTAGCAGTTGTAGTCAGGTTTTCTTAAGGGAAACGTGTTAGTTTGTGGGACTGGAAGTGGGACAGAACCCAAAATGCAGAGATCTGTAATTTCTAGAATTCTAACATTGCTAAAAAATTGGAGGATGGGATTCAGACTGAAGGGCCAAAATACATGTGACACAAGTTTGGTCACAGGTGCCAGATCGGACTCAGTCATGTGTTGATTTGTTGTTGTTGTTCAGTCGCACAGTTGAGTCCGACTCTTCGTGACCCCCTGGACCACGTCACGCCAGGCCCTCCTGTCTTCCGTCATGCTCCGGAGTTTGCTTAATTTCATGTTTGCTGCATTGATAACACTGTCTAACCATCACAACCTTTGCTGTCCCCTTCTTCTTTGACCTTCAATCTTTCCCAGCATCAGGGTCTTCTCCAGTGAGTGCTCCCTTCTCATTGAGTGGACAAAGTATCTGAGGTTCAGTTTCATTATCTGGCCTTCCAGGGAACAGTCAGGGTCGATTTCTTTTAGGATTGACTGATTTGATCTCCTTGCAGTCCAAGGGACTCTCAAGAATCTTCTCCAGAACCATGTGTTGATAGGAGGAACTAATTTTAAAAAATCTCTCCATCCCTCTGCAAAGCTCCAAATGCCTTATGGGGCGTCAGTCTACCCTGCCATGTCATTTTTGCCGGTGGAAATGGCCTCATGTTTGCCCCTTTCTCGAGCTCCATGTGTCCATCCCAGGGTGCAGAAGAAGAAGAGATTGGATTTATACCCCACCCTTCACTACCCAAAGAAGTCTCAGAGTGGCTTACAAACTCCTTTCCCTTCCCCTCCCCACAGCAGACATCCTGGGAGGCAGGTGGGGCTGAGAGAGCCAGTTTGGTGTAGTGGTTAAGTGCGCGGACTCTAATCTGGGAGAACAGGGTTTGATTCCCCCACTCCTCCACTTGCACCTGCTGATGTGACCTTGGGTCAGTCACAAGCTCTGGCACAGCTGTCCTTGAAAAAGAGCCATTTCTGTCAGAGCTCTCTC